AGCGACAACAGGGCAGAGGTCAGGGTCAGCAGAACAGGCTTGAGGCACTGCCAGCGACGCAGAGGGCAGAGGGACAGGTTCGAGCAGTCCAGGAGGCTCCCCTGGGGCAGATTGTCCTATATCCTCCAGCATTAGCAGTAGAGCAGTCTTCAGCCACAGGCAGAGTATATGCAGTGGTTCCTCGTGATCACGGTGCCAGCGGAGCAGTTGTGAAGGGTACGTTCTTTGTGAATTCCGTTCCCGCCCGTATTCTTTTCGATTCGGGAGCTTCGCATTCTTTCATCTCGCATGCATTTGTGGCTAGACTCCAGCTCGTAGCTCAGCCTCTAGACACCCCTTTATCAGCCTCCACCCCTTTAGTGAGGTATCGCTTCTGGAGAGCGTTTGTAGGAGGTGTACCATCAGTTTAGACGAGTCGGAGTTCATAGTCGATCTGATAGTTTTGCATATGTCCGAGTTTGATGTCATTCTTGGTATGGATTGGTTGTCGTCCTACCATATTAGTATTGGCACAGCCCAGATATCCCGCGCACCCTATCGCATGGCGCCAGCTGAGATGAGAGAGCTTCAGACCCAGTTGGACGAGTTGTTAGCTCAGGGTTTTATTCGTCGGAGTCATTCTCCGTGGGGCGCGCCAGTCCTCTTCGTGAAGAAGAAGGATGGCAGCATGAGATTATGTATAGATTATCGGGAGTTGAACAAGGTCACTATCCGGAATAAGTACCCACTGCCTAGGATTGATGACTTGTTCGACCAGTTGCAGAGAGCGCGATTTTTCTCAAAGATTGATCTTCGTTCTGATTATCATCAGTTGCGGGTTCGGGAGATGGATATCCCCAAGACCGCTTTCCTCACGCGCTATGGATCTTTCGAGTTCTTGGTCATGCCATTTGGGTTGACCAATGCACCCGCGGTATTCATGGACTTGATGAACCGAGTTTTTCGTCCATTCTTAGATCAGTTCGTGATTGTTTTCATCGACGACATCCTCATTTATTCGAGATCGGAGGCAGATCATGAGCAGCACCTCCGTTTAGCTTTGCAGACCTTACGGGTGCACTAGTTATATGCCAAGTTCAGCAAGTGCGAGTTTTGGCTTTCAGAAGTCAGATTTCTCAGCCACATCATCAGCAGAGAGGGCATATTAGTAGACCCAGCTAAGGTTACAGCAGTGCTTGAGTGGGAGCTACCAAAGACAGTGATAGAGATTCGCAGCTTTTTGGGATTAGCAGGCTACTACAGGAAGTTCATCCAGGACTTCTCGAAGATTTGGACGCCACTTACACGCCTTACGAAGAAGGGTGTACAATTTATTTGGAGCATAGAATGCCAGAAGGCCTTTGATATCTTGAAGACTAAGTTGACCTCAGCACCAGTTTTGACTATTCCGAGCAACGACAGGACATTCGTCGTCTACACAGATGCATCATTGGCAGGATTAGGAGGCGTCCTTATGCAGACTCAGAGAGTAGTAGCTTATATCTCACGGCAGTTAAGAGTGCATGAGCAGAAATATCCCACTCATGACTTGGAGCTAGCAGCAGTGGTATTTGCACTAAAGTCATGGAGGCACTACCTGTATGGAGTGCAGTTCGAGCTGTTTACAGACCACCAGAGTTTGAAATATCTTTTCTCTCAGAAGGAACTCAACCAGAGGCAGCGGAGGTGGATTGAGTTCATCAAGGACTACGAGTTCGCGATTCAGTATCACCCGGGGAAGGCGAACGTCGTAGCAGATGCTTTGAGTAGGAAGCGTCGACATCAGATTGCGGCTTTGAGGTGCTCATTGCACTGAGACCTTCTCACTCTTAGCCAGTTTGATTTTAGACCTGAGTTTGGTGGCACTAGTGTATTTTTGGGAGCTATATCAGTGCAACCAACTTGGAGCGGCAGAGTTGTTAGAGCTCAGTTGGAGGATTCTTAGATTCAAATCCGTAAGGAGGAGATTTCCAAAGAGCCAAAGACCGATTGGACCATTGGAGCAGATGGAGGTCTACGGATGAAGGGTAGATTGGTTATGCCAGCCAGTGCAGAGCTGAAGAGGGAGTTGTTTGATGAGGCACACCGTACTCGGTACACAGTACATCCAGGGACCACAAAGATGTACAAGGACTTGAAGAGGCACTTTTGGTGGAGTGGTATGCGTAGGGAGATTTCAGAGTATGTGGCGAAGTGTTTTACCTGCCAGCAGGTGAAGGCGGAGCACCAGAGACCACCAGGCACACTTCAGCCGTTGCCTATCCTAGAATGGAAGTGAGCGGACATTTCTATGGACTTTATTGTAGGGTTGCCTAAGTCGAAGAAGGGGAATGATTCGGTTTAGGTGATAGTGGACCGGTTGACGAAGTCATCACATTTTATCCCAGTAAGGACTACTTATACAGCTGAGGCGTATGCGAGGGTCTTCATTCGGGAGATAGTTCGATTGCACGGGGTTCCAGATACGATTGTGTCGGATCGAGGATCGGTTTTTACTTCGTATTTTTGGAGGAGTTTTCAGGATTCGTTTGGCAGCAAACTATCTTATAGCAGTGTATTCCACCCACAGACAGATGGTCAGACGGAGAGGGTGAACCAAGTGTTGGAGGACATGTTGCGAGCATGTGTTATTGACTTCCAAGGCAGCTAGGAGGATCATATCCCACTGATAGAGTTCGCTTATAACAACAGTTATCAAGCGACGATCGGTATGGCTCCGTATGAGGCACTATACGGGAGACCCTGTAGATCACCGATATGTTGGGCAGAGCCGGAGGATAGTTTGATGCTTGGACCAGAGCTTGTGAGGCAAACTACCGAGAAGGTAGCGTTGATCAGGGAGCAGATTCTAGCCGCTCAGAGTCGGCAGAAGAGTTATGCAGATAAGAGGCGAAGACCCCTCGAGTTTCAGATTGGGGATTTGGTTATGCTGAAGGTATCGCCTATGAAAGGTGTACAACGATTCAGGAGGCGAGGAAAGCTTTCACCGAGATATATTGGACCTTTCCGGATTTTGGAGCGCATTGGAGTGTAAGCGTATAAAACTGCCTATGGGTCCCTTAACACAGCTCGACACGGTGATTCAACAAACCAACGAACCATCGGGCGATATATCCAAGCGTGATCGTCAGACCACAACATCGAAGCTAATTGACACGCGACGACGCGGATTAACGAGGCGACGAGGTTAAAAAATTGCACGCAAACAACGGAATACATCCACTCGCGTGCGGAATCAAGCTAACGGTTCGGTGAGTCAACGAGTCATCCAACTGTAGAACGGATTCGAACTCGAACACCGAAGTGGATTTACTGCCATATCGGGATCCAAACTGCCATATCAGAGTCCAGATCAGCGACGAAACTCAGACAAAGCACAAAACCGGACAACGGACACAACACCCAGAGGTGGCTCGGTGGCCGAGGGGGTGGCCGAGCCACCTCAGGGTGGCTCGGCATGAGCCGAGCCACCTTGAGGTGGCCGGCCACCTTGAGCTGGCCACACGTGCACACGGGCACGGGCACAGTAACGAGAGCCTATAAATAGGCCAAGGGGTTCTTCATTTCAAAAGGTTGGAAATTTTGGAGAGAGGCGAAGCCCTGCTGGATTGGAGACTCGGAACTTAAAAAAGATTGAAACTTTGGGACTTCGGGGACTCACTCCTTCAGATCTGGTGCTCGGCGATCATCAACGTCAAATAAGGCAGGTGTTCGAGAGGATCAGATCTCAGATCTACGCAGGCATACTCCGGATCTAAGCTTGGTCTTAGATCCCGAGACTTGGACGATTGTTTCCTTGGTGAAACAATCCTCCCCGGCTATTATTTCCTTGGTGAAATAATGCCCGTCGTACTGCGTAGATCCGACTGGATCTAGATCTCGCGGTGGTCCACGGCAAACAACCCCGGCGCAGGCAAAGAACCCACAAAAGCGAGCGACCGCAAAACAGGAGCTCGCGATTCGTTCGACACAAAAGGAGAAAAGTGTAATCTTTGTTTATTTTTTATTTGATTTTCGTTGTAACCGGATCTTATAAAAAGACCGGATCTTTGTATAATTGATAAACAATTGCCAAAGAGCACAATGGAATCAATGAAAGCTACAATTTTTCCCGCGAATAATCTGGCGACCACAGTGGGAGCCACCGATCTCGCTGCCGAGATCGATGCGTCGCAGCCGCGGATCTCGATCCCGGTCGAGGAGTAGGTCGAGTATAAATTCGACCAGCAAAAGTTCGAGGAGTATTTGTCATCCTCGTCCGGATCCACCTCCCCTCGCAAGTCTAAGAAGTTCTCCTCCAGGAGAAAGGTACGTTGGTACGAAAAAGTTGAAGCTACCAACGACGATCTCACCCCGATTGATGCCAAAGCTGCGTCGGGTGAGGCTCCACCAACCTCCAACCAGATCAAGCTGGTTCCAACCAATTCCTCCGTCACCAAAGGAGCGGTGACTCTCTCAAAGAGAGCCCGCCAAAGGCAACGCCAACGCTTGGCCAAACAATTCGCCAAAGCGATGGAGTCCACCGACGGAATCCGCTACAACGCGGATCTGAAGAACGAAAGAGGCAAACAGCCCCAACAACAGATGCTCAACAAACAATGAATGGCAGCTCCTCCAAGCCGCCAACGAACGAATGGATCCGTGTCAAACGGAATCATTCAACACTTGATGAGCGCATTCGCAAGCGCCGCGCAATGTCAGCGCAGGCACGGGCTCGAGTCCAAGAAGCCCGTAGAAGACTGCAGAAGGAAGTGGCCAAGAAGCCGCCACCAACCCGTCAAGTTTGGAGGCCGAAGTCTGAAGCGGCGATTCCGACTAAGGCACAATATTCAGGTATACATATCCTTCTGGAGATATTTATAGTTTGATTTCCATTTCAACAAGAATTCAATTACCCAGTTGTTTGATTCTTGCTAACTTTCATTGTATCATTCAATGTTAGCAACAAGTTAGGATTTTTAACCGTATCTGCATTTTCTTTAAGATAGGTAGCTAGCTTTTTAAGCTATGAACTTATGCAGAGCACAAATGAAGCAGACTTCTTCACTGAATACGGCGAAGCGAGCCGATACCAGATTCATGAGGTGGTCGGCAAGGGAAGTTATGGGGTCGTCGACGCGGCCGTGGATACCCACAATGGAGAGAAGGTGACAATCAAGAAGATAAACGATGTCTTCGAGCATGTTTCGGATGCTACTCGCATCCTGCGAAAAATCAAATTGCTTGGGCTGCTCCGCCACCCTGACATTGTAGAAATTAGGCACATAATGCTTCCTCCCTCACGGAGAGAATTTAAAGATATTTATGTTGTTTTCAAGTTGATGGAATCTAACCTTAATCAAGTTATCAAGGCAAATGACGATCTCACGCCTGAACACCATCAGTTTTTATGTACCAGCTTCTGCGAGCTATGAAGTATATCCATAGCTATGAAGTATATCCACATTGGTGAATGCCTTTTTTTTTGCTGGCTTGATTGGGCGTTGACAACTATTTTTCTCTAACAATATCAATGGTTGTTTTTTGTGTGTTATTGGTTATCAGCCAATGTTTTTCATCGGGACTTGAAGCTAAGATCAACAAACTTTTTCTTGATTGTGCGGTCACTTTTATCACGTGCACCATATATATGGTTGATTAGGTTCCTTCTCTATGGACAATATTCTAATTAGTCCTGTGAGATAATGTTTAATTGACATTCATCTTGTGTATTGTGTATAAGTTCAATGCATAATTATGAAAACATTATTAATTTTGACTCTTGTAGTTTCTTAATATGTATCACATGCAATGTATGTATCCATATGTTTGATACATGGTTTAAATTAAATAAATCTTAATGAAATGAATCAATAACAAAAGTATAAATTAAAAAATTTAACACGTGCATTGCACGTGCAATCCTTACTATTTATCTTCAGTAAAACTTTTACTGGTTTTAAATGGATGAGAACATTATGGAAAGGGTGTGTTTGGAGCTTGTCAAGCATTAGTTTGTAGAAACCTTAATGAATATTTTAGATTTTTTAATGGGATTGTCAAATTTTCACGGGTGAATATACGTACTCATATATTAGGTAGTGCGAAGACTTAGCACGACTCTAACGTCATAAGCTTGGATTTACATCCACGTACTCATATATTAGGTAGTGCGAAGACTTAGCACGACTCTAACGTCATAAGCTTGGATTTACATCCACATCATCAAAATTTACTTTTAGGTATATTCTTGTGGAAGTCTTTGATTGGGATTGAGATTGATTTATTAATTTGGGTGCCTCGGATTATCCGTTTGTGACCCAGGATGGTAAGTTTTTATTGATTTATTGGGTTTGTTTGGATTTGCGTTTGTTTATTTGGGTTTTGTGATGTTTGATTGTAGATCTGTTGCTCATGTTCTCGTATTTTCCGAGGAATATGAACTTTATTGATCATACTAGCAACATTGGATTGAAAAAGTATGTTTTGCTGTTTGCTTGATTGTGTGTGTGTTTATTTTGGTGGATTGTTGAGATGGGTTTTGTGCAGGTTTCATATGGCGAAGCTGGTGACAATTGATCTAGGGATATACATTTCGAAGAAGCAAGATGTGTTCTAGATTACTCAGCGAAGGAGTGTGCCCACTACCTTTAAGCTCTTTAAAGGTAAATTTTTTGTTTCGGAACTTGATTTGAACATGAAATGCATGTTTTCTACTAACGTGTAATTGATGCTTTTTATAAGAGAATTTTCTGGTATATGTCTTGATCAATTTATAAATTTTGATTTTGATTTTGTTATGGATTTGTTTGTTTTATTGTGTTAGAGTTAGATACGGTGTGGTTTTGAAGTATCAATTTTTTCTGACGCGCTATCTGTTGAAATATTGCGATTGAGTGCATAATTGTGATCTTTTGGGGAAATTTATTGTGGTTTGAAGATGTGATTACTTGATTTGTACTGGATATGGACAGATTATATAAAGTGTCTGGAATGACACTGAGTTAGTTTGCGGAAAAAGCCATTCTTACTTTAACCACAAGCAATAGTATGTGATCCCTTTGATAAATAATATTCATCATATAATATAGGTCAGAGGCTTAGCTTATATTTATATAGCACAGAAGATGTGAAAAAAACTTAAGCATCATATTTTGAATAAGTCTCAATATTTTAAATTATAAATGAAATTATATACTTCGCTTAGAATCATACTCCCTTTAAAAGAGGAAGTTGTAGAAAAAATTTCTATGGACTATGTTACCCCTATTTTTTAAAAATATTATATTCTAATCATAACTAAATTAAATTAATTATTATTATTAATTAATCGTATTATGAAAGTTTGTCTAACTTGGTCCTTAAAACTTCTAATGTTATTGTAAAACTCTCATATTAATTATTAGTAATGTCTAATAATGTATTAATAGACAATTACATGTTAATAAATCTATCTACCCTTTAAAAGAGCCGGTTCCTAAAAAACTTTCCCATCCCGAAATTAACCTTCAACCATCTTAAATATACCCAATTTCTCCCTTAAAATCGTTACATTAAATTCCTTAAAATCGTTACATTAAATTCGTCGCCAGCATCTGCAATTTCCACCTCCGTTACGCCTTCCTCTCCGCCGAAGCCGAAGAGATCGTCGATTATCCTTCTCCGACGAAGCCGAAGCGTTACAGGAATTTGCAAAGATGTGGATTA